GGGGGGGGGGGGGGGGGGTGTTGAACGTCGAATTGCCGAGTAACAATTACGTAATATGCGAGTTTTTTCTCGAAAATGTAAATGATCTTTATTAAATTTGTTAACTTTTAGTGTCTTTGAATTCGTAGCAATTTCTTACTAAAAAGACCAATTCATTGTAAATATAAAATATTAAGTACTATGGATATATCGTTCCAATTACAAACTTAGAATATTTCTATACAAGCACGACTGTAAGCGGATTTATAAGCATAATAGCATATAGTCGATATTTACTTTAATACCAATAATGGGAGATGAAACGTTCGCGATCTATTCATTGGTAAATTAAAGATGTTCGTTCAGTATAAGACGACTCGTCTCTTTTTTAACAGACTCCACTTTCTTGCTACTGCTTCAAGTATCAGTCAAATCTTTCTCACAGGTTAAGAGCTTGAGGCCAGCCAGCCTTGAGTCGCCCATGGATGTTCGCAGTTTGTTCTTAACAAATTTCAAGTTGCTAAATGAGCGTTCATTTGATGCCACCGTTACAGGAGCTGTAAGCATCAACCGGACTGCCAAGTTTGCCAGCGGTAGTGTCGATTTGTTGGCTTTGCTGAGTTCAACTACCTTGCTGTAATCATCACCAACATCGGTAGGCAATAATTCGGCTAACACTTGTAGTTCGGCTTCAAGCGCCAATGGATTAGGCGTCTGTGATGGTGGGAATAGCGAGACAGCAGAATGAATGCACGTTCCATCGATTGGTGGTTTAAGGCACTTCAACAGTGGCAAAAGGCTCTTCTTGCATTGGGTTAGATGTTCACCCATTCGTGAAGTAAGGACATCTAAGACCTCTCGAAACTGCATTCTGTAGAACTCTCGCAGAGAAACGACAGCTACTGTTTCGACTTGTTCATCTAAACGTCTAGGTGCTCTTCGTGGACGGTGATGTCGGTTGAAGTCGTTTTCTGGATCAATGCCAAGGCTTCTGGCGAAGATTAGGGATGATTCAATCTGATCGTCCATCATTTTGTCGTCAGCTCGTATTTTCTCCATGATACTCAAGGTGGCTTCCACAAGGCAAGTCGCATCCAGAATGTTGAGTTCAACTGTTTGGAGCTGAACCACCAAGCGTTTTGTTTTATATGCAATGATTATGTTCTTCATGAACATTAGCGCAATAACAAGATCAAGCGAAAGCAGGACCGGAGATACGGAGGAGGGTGTGTGTGTGTGTGTGGGGGGTGGGGGGGTGACACCCCCAGAAATTTTATTCAGTCGGCAGGACTGCTATTCAGTCGGTAGGATTGCTCTTTGGGTTAAATATTTCCGCGCAAAGGGCGAGATATTTGGGGTTTTTTGGGTAAATTTCCAAATTTTGGTATGAACAATTGAGGTAAAGTCACCGGAAAATTTTTTTCCCTAAAAAGTTGTCGACGGGGGGGGGAGGTTGTTGGTCTCCGGAAAAAATGTTCGTCAGTCGGTTGAAATGACCTTACACTCCCCCTGAAGAATTCCCTGAGGACGGCCCTGCGAAAGCATTCTTTTCCTTAAGCCCATTGCTTGCGTTTGGGTTTGTTGATCTGCTTTATTGGTGATCTGCTGTAGTACATCCACGATTACATCAAATGATGTCCAGACGGCTTGGATACTCTCTGCTCTGGCACTCCATCGCGTTTTGGACAAGTTTCTAAGCATTAAACAGTTTTCAACCTTGGTTATTTCCTCTTTCAATGGTTGTAAACGTTTTGTACTCGATGTGAAGAAAACGAAAAGTGCTTGGAGTATGTCAAACATTTCACGGACGATGACATTCGCGTTGCAACTATGCTCGATCACAGTGTTACAGCGATGTGCTTGGCATGGTATGTATGGGATATCACGACCAACAATTTCGGACAGTTTCTGCTGAGCACCATTGAACTCACCAGACATGGCGGCTGCAAAGTCGTATGATTGAAAGCGTAGGTCATCGGTATCCACCACACACTGCTTTATCGTAGATAGGATGTCTTTCGCTTGACCGGGACTTGTCTTATCGACAGTCTTTCTTACATCAAGTAGCCTTTCGGTTGGCTTTCCCGCGTCGTTGACGTACCTAACAACAACAGAAAGTCTGTCCGTGTGCTCTTCGTCAGGAGTTGTGTCTGCCATCACAGAAAACATCCCTGCACTTTTTACTTCTTCCACAACTTTTTCTCTCAGTTCTGCTTTGATCAAAGCGATGAACTCGTTCTGCGACTGAGGACTCAAATAGGTGGCGTGGTAGGGATTCATCCTTTTGTCAGTTATCCACCGACGAAGGCTTGGGACATGTCTACTAACCAATAGGACCAACTGATAAAAGTTGCCTTCTTCATTGCTGTCGCCCCTGAATGCGACGAGAAGTGTTGAGCCAGTTTTCCTTGTTTGTTCTTTCCAACACTCTTCATCTTGTGCCATTTTCTTACTCCCATACTTATCCAGCTTGTATCTGCCTTCTCTTTTGAGGGCGCGTCGTGGAATAGCGAGCATACGAAACAAAACACAGCCTCTTTCTTGATACTGTATTCTAAGTGTTGGTGCTCGTTATACCATCGTGGCGAAAAACGATTCTGTTTCCCCTGAGGTATATCTTGATTGGCTGGGAAACAAGACAACTTCGGCTGAAAAGGCCCATGTTCAATCAGATACTCCTTTTGGTTATCTCCGCGGACCTCACCGCGTAAGCCTGGATCATGCTCTATAGACACCTTAGAAGAGCTTGCGTCGTTAACTTTGGGTTTCTTCGTTTGGATTTGATTAAGTAAGCTGTCAGTGTTTTTCAGAAATCTACCGCAGCTTTCTTGTACCTGTTTGATAGTGTCCTGTGCATCTACAATCCATTGTTCAACATTAGGAATGTCTGATGTTCTTGCATCATTTACCATTTCTTGACAACCATACATTAAACTGCTGATATAAGACAGACTTGCAACAGATTCGATCCAATCTGATTTCTGAGACTCGGAGACTGAATCTTTAATAGTTTCGGTAACTGAATCTTCAGTGTCGGAATTTGAATTTTCATTTTCATTTTCAGAATTGAAATCTTCCTGATTTAAGAATGTGGTACGAAGTTCTTCTTCGACAAAGTCACCAAAACAGTCACATGGTACCACTTCAGATTGGGAAAAATTGTTAATTTTCTCATTGGGGTCTAAATCTAGTGTTCCTGTAGAGCTAACCGAGCTTGGTGATTTTGGCTCTTGGCTTGTATGGGACGTCTGTGCATCAGTTATGTCACTTTTTTGTGGATGGAATTGGGCATGACCTACGTTTTTTTAAATAAGTTTTTTTAAATAATGAATTCGTAGCCAATTTGTGTTTGCCTGAAGTGTCTGAACTTCTTGCTCACTAGTCGAAGTGGCCAAACTTTCTGCTCACTCATCGAGTAGTAGACACATCACACATCGTTAATAGTCCGCGCCCAGAACTGCCCGCTTTATCGATCCATCCCTTCGCACCCTGTGTACCCACTAGAAACGTGAAGTGTCCATAAATTTCGTTTTGTAAAGCAAGAATAGGGAATATATTTACGCTCGCTTAACAAAACGCCGTGGCAGGTGCAACATTACGACTCAATATTATTGTCAATATATAATGGCTTTTTTACTCAGGCAGAGATTACAACGAAATACGAATAAAAAATGCTATATAATAAAAGATTCTCTAAATTTAGCGAGTAAGATTGCTGCTAAAACTTTAAGAATTTGAGTAAACGTTCTAAATATAGCACGCTATAACACGTGTGTTTCGAGTACCGAAAGACGATCTTGGATTCACACCTCCGTGGCACACACCATGTGGCAAGTGGCCGACGCAACAGCTGTTATTAAAGCTGCGATGCCTGCGAAGCACTAAAGAATAAGCTGAACCATTAATCGACTTACCATCTTCCCCTTCTTTTCCGCAAAAAAGCATCCCTGATGTATTCCTGGTTCTCGGCGTTTTCTTCACTGCTTTGTACCTTTTCGCCAGATTGAATTGACTTTGATTAGCTTTGATTTATTCGCATTCGCAGCGGCTGCTTGGAATAGATTAGCTGGTGGGCCTTTATGCGCTACTCGCACTCGCTTTCCTTGGTGGCAAGTCTGTTCGTGTTTTTTGTGGTAATCATCATCAAAAACCGAATGACACTCCAGACACCTGAGTTTTATTCTCTTTCTTTTCAGTTTTGAGCTGCTCATGTTTATTGATGAAAGCAGTCGAAACAGACAGCATGCTTTGTAGTTGCTTGAAAACACGGGTTTCAAATTTCACTCACATAAGAGATAAGATTACAATAGCTTGCTGTTTTCGCTGTTGATTGCACGTTTGCCGAGAAAATGAGCTAGACAGGCGAAGTAGGGGAGATTATTTCATTTTAGTACAGATACATGTATGTCAGTCATGCTTTAAATGTTTTCATAGTTTTTAATCTTTTTCCATTTTCCCAGTTCACATGATGCCGATTTGCCGATTCGTACAGACATAAATTTGCCGACTTTTGCCGACTGGTTGCATTTTTTGGGGGGTGAGGCACCCCCC